TGAAGGTATCAAAACCAATGAAGTTGAGCTCATGGTTTAAAAAGTATACACACCTTAGAACAAGCAAGACAAGAATAATTTTTTAAGACTTCAATTAAAAAAAGAACTGCGGGCATTACTTTATTCCATATATCACCACTTGCCTATGACTAACTAATAGAAAGCTCAAGAGAGCTCAAAAGATGTGTAAGTTTTTGCTAAGAAAGTTGATTTTTTTTATGATGACTAGTATAATAGTAATTGTTGTAGGATTCATTATTTTTATATGTTTTTAACTGTGTGAAGAGAGTTGGCAAGTGGTATAAATGTGTTTTCAATGTCGAAATATGTGAATCAATATACCACAAAGCACTTGTAAGATGATTTATGAATTCTTTTCCTATCATTTCATGTGAACCGCATATCCAGCCAACTTGTTGATCTTGAAAAAGCTCAATAATTTCATTGTAAAGTCTGTCAAAGTTATTGTTCTCAGTACAATGTCTAGGAAGTAATAGTCTTCTTGAATTTGCTATTAAGATGTTAAAAGCATCTGGCCCATCTTGAGTTAAGTCTGGAGGATCCAAATTTTTACTATAAACAAGACAAAATTTAATCTGTCTAAAGCCCAAAACTTCTAACATTGCTAAATCATCATTTAACCCATTGTCTACTTCTTGCCAACCTTCAATCTCTCTCTGTCTAATAAAAACTTTTACCTCTCTTCTATCATATTGTCCTAACGTGATTGCATCAAAAAAATCAAAAAATTGATTATTTGTAGACTCTATGCTTATTACATGCTCAGGAATAACACATTTGACACCTTCATTGACCTGAACCAAGAGATAAAGCATTCTTGAAAAAATTAATAATAGTTAAGTATTTACTGAGAATTAATGATGAGACTTTTTTTTTTAGTTGATGTATATATACTATCGTTATTGTTCAAGCTGCATTATCGATACCATTTGAGTGCGTGAGAGTGGAAACCTGCAGCTGTATATAATGATTTATTATTATAAGTTTTAGGTTTTCACTTTCACGCACTCATTTTTGCTCCAATTCTAACTTTTTATAGTCTGTAATTTAAATTTTTTTCTTTTTTTGGTGATTAAAGAGTATTACAAAATAGGCTTTATGCAATTGAAAGAAGGATGAATTATTAACGCTAGACACCATTGGAAAGGGTTTTTAACTCCAAAACATTATGCAAGAAGAATTAAAATTCTTTATATTTAAATTTTGTATATAGCTGTTACTTCTGTAGCTCTTGACCATTTAAAATTTACTCTGGTCTATTACTTGTCTCTTTATTTAGATTCAACGAAAAGTGAAAACTTGTTAAGAAAAACTTCATTACCGATATAGTGTTAGATAAGATTTACTTTAATTTAACATACTTTTTTTTTCAACTCTATACTAACGATATCTTCATTTATTTACAACTAATATCTTTGATCACACCCTCACTAGTAGCGTGAAAACAAGGTATCTATTTTTTTTATTATTATCTTGGGGAAAGAGAATCTATGGTTTAGTAATCCCAACCTTCTCTTTATACAATTTTTACTGTATTATGCTATAGTTATGCACGTATTTACTATATTATACTATTTGATTATATATTTTCTGCATTATGCTATCGCTATGTAAAACTACAAAAAAATTATATTCTTAAAATTTATATGTGCAATGTATGTAGAGATTAGGTCCAGGTAAAGATTATCCAGGTAACCCGTATAAGCACTCTTATCCGGGTAGAAACTTAGTTAACCGGTTAACCCAGATAAGAAATCAAAAATCAAAAATAAATAAAACAAACTGGTTTATCAAAGTAAAATGCGATTCACAAACCCAAGTCAAGTTCATTTGGTTAAGTCGTGAAATAACTATAAATTATTTGCATTATACTGTTATATTAGCTAGTTCTGACTTTTTACATAGCTCATTACTGTGACTTATTGTAATTAGACCTAAATAAATTAGGAACTCCGAATTACTATTTGATTTTCATAAGGAATGCAAAATTTTTATGATTTTAATCGGGTTAGCCGGGTTAACCGGGTTATTCAGGTTAACCGGGTGTTATCTGGTTAAGAGTTTGTTATATGGGTCAGTTATCCGAAGTAGAAATTTTATATAGGCTTAATCTTTAGATATATATATGTACATACATATGTATGTACATACGTATGTATTTACGTACATATGATACAAGAAATTTAAAACTTTAATCTTGATATAAATTATCAATCTTAATAAAGTGAAAGATCTAGAATTTTCATTTCTTTGAATAGAAATAATGTGCCAGGAACCATATGTACTTAATAGCAACTATACTATGCTTGAAGCTATTGGAAATGATATATTTAGTTTTATTCTATATAAAGCAGTTGAGGTTCTTTAGATTTCCTGCACTGTACATACTGTACGTATTTTATTTGTAATTAAAGTTTCATATTGATGTACAGTTTTATCCTTATAGTTATACAAAGTTGGTGTATATGCTGTGTATTATTTATACTATATAGGTCTTCAAAAAAGAGGGGGAGGTTATATTAAACAGAAAATCAAATTGGTATAGCCTAACTAATAATAATATAATAATAATATAATAATAACTATAATATTATGAAATAATATAATAATATAATAAATTATACAATAATAGAATATTTCCTATACTATGCTACACTAGTATTGCTCTGTGTTATAATCTACTTTGTAACATTTTCCTTCTCTTAAGATTTTACTCTATAAAATTTAAACTTATACTTGACTTTTGCAAAAAGTTATAAGCTTTTTGAATACTTCTTTTGTTATATCATTAAAGTTCTTTACCTTAATGATTTGTATTCTATAAATATGATCATAACCACATGCTCAAAATAGTCAGAAGACTCATTTGTATGTTTTAGCCTGAGTCTTCCTGATAGAAACTCTCAGTTTGTTCTGATAATACTATAATAATGCACCTATATAGTATGCATATACTAAAGCGTGTATCTGGTGATAATTTCTAGAATCCAAATGATTAGCTACTAACTTGTATTTGGCTAATATAGCTTTGAAACACTTGTTTGGGTTCGGATCTGATAATATTGTCACTAGGAATATTTGGTTATTTTCTCAAGGCATAAGATTAGTTTTAAAAATTCCTAATAGGTTAACTATAGTGGTAACTAGTTTGTTATGATTAGCAGAGATGGTGCAGATGTGATGATTATCTTACATAATTGTTGTAGTTTTTGGATCAACAATAATTGTTCCTGCATATTATAACTAGGTACAAAGATGTTGGAGTTCACACACCTTTTCATAAATCTAGAAATTTAACCAAGTAGGACGAGTAGTTATTTTTGTATTTTTACAAGTAGGTTTTATAAGATTGTTAAGATAAAATGGTTCTGAGATTTGTTAAAATTAAGCTAGAAAAGGCCAATTCTTGTTCTTTAAATATCTGTTAAGATGATTGTTCATACTATAGAGTTGAAATGTTTTTTCTATTTTGTTTAACCCATGCTTGCTCTTTGTATTTCTCTTATGCTACAATCTGTTTATATGTGTTTTGTTTTGTATCTCATACATGTTTTGTATTTGTTTCAGCCATAGCTTGGCAAAATTTCTCAGCCTAATCTATTTTTAGCATTTCTTTGTTCTTTTCTCTCTTAAAAATTTGTAAAGTTCACCAAACTTTCCTTTTTATTTATCTGAATTTAGCTTTATTGTTCTGATTTGTTTTTTGTTTTTTTAAATCTGTAAATCACATCATTATTGTTATGATTTTCTTTATTTGTACTATGTAATAATTTTCTAAGATAGGAAAAATTATCTTATTGTCCAAATTCTATTTATATTCATGTTTCCTATGTGTTTCATTTTCTAATTTTCATATATACAATTCTTTTTTCCTTGGTACTATTCTCTTCTATTATTCTTTTATGTTAAAAACTTTTCTTATCTAATACTCTTTTTCTTTTCTTTTAGTTGTTGTTTCTTAAAAATCTATTCTTGTCTTGCTTGTTCTAAGGTGTGTATACTTTTTAAACCATGAGCTCAACTTCATTGGTTTTGATACCTTCA